CATGACTGGCATTGTACTCATTGCCACTTGAGAATACACATGCATTATTTTGAGCACCTGCAAAACTAGACATTGAATACTCCCTAGAGAATTCCACCACCTCCTGAGAGGGGAGTTGAAGTAACAGCTTGCTCATTGCATTAGCTCCTTCTTCCCTCACATTAGCAACACTGAAGAAGTGAGCAGAAGAGAAAGAGCAGCTCTAAGAACTCCTAAGGTGCATTTCCAAGAAGATGAAAGGCTCTGGGTTCAGAGGCCAGGTATGAACTGTTACAAGAAAGATATGTGGACCAAAGTCAGGGAGCATAAATTAGGCTATCTAGTCTGCTGGTTGTCATGCTAAGATAGATCTGAGAACTCAATCCATTGACTAGCAATTGGTAAACTTTACAAAGCAAAATGGTTCTTGATCACATAATCACAAGCTGGCCATGATTAACATTCTCCTTTCCACAACCACCAATGGGATTTCAGGAGGAAGCCAGTTATGGTCAGCTACAACCACCCATGGGATATTCCTACTGAAATCATGTGAAGTATCATACAGTCACATTTCTTTAAGACTGTCATTCTTAACAGAGCAAATGGGTTTTTCCACCACTTTGCAATTGCTCAGCTCTATGGGTAAATGCTTCAAACATTCCCATAGGCAGAGGAACCAATTTGTGAGTACAAAAGATACAGTCTATAACAAGGAGAATATCTCCACACTCCATGGTTTTATCTGTGTCACAAATGACCACATTCTCATTAAAATGGGCATGCCAGACATTGGTCTTTTAATTTAAATCCCTTTCCCCTATGAGTTAATGAATCATCTCAAGTTTTGATTTGCACTTGCTCATCTCTTTAGCACACCTTTTTGGTCTGCATCTTTGATGTGAATTAATCCAATTCACATGCCTTTTCCCAAACCATCTTTCTCAGGAGTGTAATGACAAGAACCAAATTAGGCCCAGCTGTCTAAGTGGAAGGGAGTTCTCTGCCCATAAGTCATGCTTTGTTAACTGGCAAAGAATCTGCCAGAAACAGCCTTCCAAAATTCCTGAGTGGCAAGCAAGAGTTTTCATTATTTTCAGTCATTTACCTGGGCTAGTCAGCATGCTGTAGTTTGGAGAATAAAGACAGAAAGGCAGACACAAGCAGAGCTGTAGAAGCTTTTCCATAACTTCAGCTCTAACATGAAATGAGGCTGTGATCTCTTCACATTATGATCTTTGTAGGATCTGGTATATGTGTGTGTGTGTATGTGTGTGTAACATTTAAACTGAAATTTCAAATGATAGGTTTAAAATTATTATGAATCAATAACGTTGAAGAAAAGAGCTCAAAGTTCTAAACAAACAACGTTAAAAAGCACTGTAAATCAGTATAATTATCATACCAGTTACAGAAGTGCTTTGAACATTCCTTGTGATATATAGACAATAAATGTAATGTGGTGAACAAAATACTGTACACAAAATCACAGTTAACTTGGATGGGCTCCTCTAATTGAAAATATTTAATCAACCAAAAGTATCTTATATATTAACAAAGGTCTGATTTCTCTGAAGATGGTCCTACTGTATAAATTCAGATATAAATCTAATCAACAAAACTATCAAATATTTTTGTTTTTCTTCTGTTTTTCTTCTATGGAACTCAAATGAGCTTCCACAGGATTCCCAGGCAGATTGCTATTCTGACAGAGCCTGTGTTGTAGTGGTTAAAGTTACAGACTGCCTCTTGAGGGGCCTAGTTACCACAAATCCACAAAACTAGCATTGTGACATTGGGCCAGTCTCTCACTGTCCTAATCTGGTTCTCCTTACAGTGTTGTAACAATGGAATGAGGAAGAAGAGACTGTATAGATGCTTTCTTGAGAGATCTTTGGAGGAAGAGTGAAATGGAACAAACATACAGACACCAGTCAGAATTGGATTTCCCAAAGACCACTAAGGCCCCTTCTACACTGCCATATAGCCCAAATAATCAAACCAGATAATTCACATTATCTGCTTTAAACTGGTTTATATGAGTATACACTACTATATAATCCAGTTCAAAGCAGGTAATCTGGATTTTATATGGCGATGTAGACAGGGCCTAAGATAATCAAATAGGTGACACTTAGAAAACCCTGTTGAGAATCACATGTAAATGGAAGAAAAGACAACACTAGTTTATGAGCAAGTACTGCATACTGTTTCCAAGGTTTTCCACAATTACAACAATGAATACTCAGGAAATTCCAAACTGAACAACACACTAAAGACAGAGCAAACACCAGCCAAGCCAAAACTAATGTGTAGAAACTATCACATTGGTTTTGGGCAGGCAATGTCCTATCATCAGTGGCAGTACATTTCTCTGAGGCCTTTGCAAAAACACAAAAACCTCTTGGGTTAATGCTCTAAATTTGTGCAGAAGGAGCACCTGCCAAATCATGAGCAACATACTTTTGGCCTGGGCAATACCCCTTCGTGTACAAACTTGTTCCAAGAGTGCTACTGCCCACGCCAAAAGCAAAGCAGTAAACATTCAAATGATACTCTCTAAACCAGATGGAATCCTGTGTGAAGCGACTGTAGACCTCAGAGAACTCGGAAACTTTATAAATACACAATTAGAACTGGCCTGCTCTGCCCGGTGAATGTCACGCTGGCTTGGAAATGAACCAGCTGACATTAAGTAACTCCACATATTTTCAGTCAAGTTGTCTTCTGGAAAATAAGTCTAACCTTACTCTTCAAAATATTCTCTTGCTTCCCCTAAAAGCAAGGACATGGAAATTTGAACCTCCTGATTTGATTTTCTGCCCCCCTGAACTTTTAGTTCCCACCTCCTACAATCCCTGAATATCTTTTGGATGACAACTCCCAGAATCCCTTGCTTGCCACAAAAAAAGAGATTTTAGCAGTTGCAATCTAACAGATAACACTTCCAAATTCTGGTCCTGGACAGAACTTGTGATAACAGAAATCTAAATATATGAAAGACCAAAGGCTCCAACATCATGACCACCACCTTTACTGATTTAGTAGGAATAGCAGCCATGTGCAAGTATGTCCTGGTCGCTCTCTCTTTTCTTATTTTGTGCCTGGATGTACTGCATAGGAATACAGGCTCAAATCTTATTTTCTTGGTAAAACTGAATTTCTCACCAATGATTTGTCAGAACAATGTAAAAGAGGGATTTCTCCTTCCATATTGCCAGGGCTGCCAATGTCTATAAGGGGGTGGTTAGGAAGCATGGTCTTCTTCAGATTTGATTTTAAACCAACCTGAAGTAGAAATGGGAGCATATTTTGTTTTGTCTCTTATTGAGATCTGTTTTAGTAATACACAACTTCCTAAATAAGCTAGGCTTTATTAGTATCTCTGCCTAGCACCAGAATCTTCTGTGTGAAAATGCAGTTCTTTGTCTCCTTTCATCACCCTGATCTTCATTTCAACCTCTCTCTCTGTTCTTCAGTTGATTCATCTATTTCGAAGAGTAGAGTTGTGTATTTTCCACAAAGGACTTGACACAAATCTCCCTTTTGTCTGGGATGAAATAAATAATTTTATTTGTCCAGGATGAGAAAATATTTAAGGCCAGCCTAGACCTCACGACACTGGCAACTGTGGCATGTATCCTTGGCTTGCCTGAATAATTTTGTGTCAATTTATTATGTTAATTTCAGAAAGTAAACTTGTGTAAGCCAACAACAACAAATAAGTCACTGATTCAAAGAACAATTAAAGAATTGTCATATGCATCATGGTTCACAACAATGGTGTACTCTCTTCTGTAGATTCACCAAAATAATTAAGACATTCACTTTGCAAGAGTTAAGTCATGCTGTGTAACCCTATAGAGGATTTTTTAAAAAAAATCACATAAACAAATATTGTTACTCTGATATGCAGTATCTCAGCACTAAACATTTGTTCCCCAGTTCAACCATTACAGAATTGGATAATGACATCAAATTTTAATTTAGCACTTCTTAACCTAGTTTGGTTTAGAAAATAAGCTTCTGCATTTACTCATAAAGATATTAATTTTTGTTTTAGAATACAGGGTCTAGAGATAGAAAGGTGCTTTCCATAGTCCAGTGGTTCTCAACCTGTGGGTCCCCAGATGTTTTGGCTTTCAACTCCCAGAAATCCTTAACGGTTGGTAAACTGGCTGGGATTTCTGGGAGTTATAGGCCAAAACACCTGGGGACGCACAGTTTGAGAACCACTGCCATGGACTATTGTATTTTAATTTCCTGACTATTTTTCACCCATCAGTACTTCTTTAAATTCTAGTTTTGTCCCAAAGCAGATGAAGTACCTTAAAGTTCACACTGAAATGCAGAATGGATTCCTCATTCCTCTGACATGCAGGCCATGAAATGCTAACTGATGGATTGTTCTCCCATCTCTTGTTCTAAAACAAGAAGATGCTTTCCTCTAAAAATACTGTTGGAAACCATGGAGTTTTAAAGCAGAATCGACATCTGCTCCTTTTAGGATACCAATCTACATATCAACAAGGATTGCTTCAGGTCAACAGAACTGAAATGAAGGCTCAAACCGTAGTTTGCTGCTGACAGCTGGAGTCAGATAGGGAAATATGAGAATCATGTTGTGGGCAGGTGGTCAGACTATCTACAGAAAGTGTTGTAAAGTAAAAAATGTATGTTGGGGGGGGGGCATGTCTTTTATACAGCAACAGATAGATTAAATTGCTTTGATGGGAAAAAGACTTCATAAAACCAAAGGTTCAATTACTATTTAATATATTTTAGTTGCCTTTTCCTTTAGGCTTTGAGCATGGATGAAACTACAGTTACAAGGACAGCATTTTCCTCCCCCATCTCTTCCAATAAGTTATTTAACAAGAGTACTATTTACTTAAGATAACTGTGAATACAATGAAATGCAAGGCTGCTCTAAGCATGAACTTCCAGACACAACAATGAACATCCTTGAGTGCTGAGAGTATGCATTAGCATTCAAACAGGTCTTCTCCTTATCCACTTACCATATCAAGGTCTTGGGAAACCCTCCGCTTCCGAAGCTCTTCCATCCGTTCACATACATCAGTAAGACAGGTATTATAGTAATCTGCATATTGCTGGGCCAGGTCATCAATGTTGCCCAATGACCCATCCTAATGGAAAGAAAGAAAACCACCAGAGTGTAATTATATCATTTTAGTGTACTTAAAATAAATGGCTATACCTACAAACACAAGATGTGTATCGTAATGTCTACAGACCTTGAAGAATTACAGTAACTGCAGAAATACATTTTAACACATGTTTTTAACATTCTGTTTTTAAACAAGAATGTTTCTTCTGCATCTAGAAGCCACAATGCTCAGATCTGAATTAATCAGGGATGCCCAATTTTAAACCAATTAGAAATTCTGTTTTGATAAAAATATAAGCTATTTAGACAAACCCTTGCAATGTTCTCTCAGACTATCACTAGATAGGAAGGTGGAAGTTGATCCACATTGCTCTACAACAGTGGTTCTCAACTTTTTTTGACCAGGGACCACTCTTCAACATTAGTACCAAAAGGGTTACGAATTGGTTTTTGGTCAACTTTAGGTTCGGTTTGGGGTGCTTATTCAGAAAATTGCATTGGATAGATGATATCAGCTCTAGTTTCTGATACAGAACATATGCCATAGTCACCTAAAGGGAAGGAGTGATAGGTGGTGTGAAAGGAGCAGAAATAAATTAAATTAAAATAAATAAAGAGGAAGGAGGCTCGAGGACCAGATTTTCATTCTCGCAACCCACTGGTGGTCCACGGCCCACAGGTTAAGAACCACTGATCTACAATAATTTTTTTGCTGTACAGTATCAATATTGCACCTAAGTATATACTAAAAATACTTTAAAGCATTTGACAATGATCTTTCTATTGGCAGAATATATTATTTTAGCAGCAATTATCTTCTGTCTTAGTAATAATAATAATAATATTAATAATAATACAACTTTATTTTTATATCCCGCCACCATCTCCCCAGAGGGACTCAGGGCAGCTTACAAGGGACAAGCCCGAAAATACAGATTAAAACCTACACAAAATAAAATAGCAACAAATTAAAATCAACAGCATCAGACCAATGGACAAAACACATCATTGTGAAGTAGTACAAGTATGGGAGAAATGAGAATTAAATCCAGAAAAGTGTCACTGAACACCAAGCTGGATTGTTCAGAAGGATTTTTTTCATAAAGGTGTTCAGTGCCCAGACCATATTTGCATCTTCAGTGTATACCTTCCAGCTATTTTGATTCAGCCAGGATAATCAATTAATCCTCTGTTCTCCCATACTGAAACTGTTCCAGTTTTTTTCTCTTCCTCTCTCCTTTCTTATCCTTATCCATTACTAGAAATTGGGACTACTTTTCAAAAATGGGGAGTAACATCAGTAATCAAAGTTCTTCATAACAAGAGATAAGAGCCATCAGATGATGAAGAACTCCAAGGGAGCAAAACTCCTCTTTAAAGTAACAGGATGTTTTTTAAAAAAATAAATAAAAATTGCAGCCCTTTTAATGATGGCCAAATGTTAACCACCATGACAACATCCTATAGCAGGGGTCCTCAAACTAAGGCCTGGGGGCTGAATGCGGCCCTCCAAGGCCATTTACCCGGCCCTCGCTTAGGGTCAACCTAAGTCTGTATCAACTTGAAAGTACACAACAACAACAACAACAACAACAACAATCCTATCTCATCAGACAAAAATAGGCCCACACTTCCCATTGAAATACTAATAAATTTATATTTGTTAAAATTGTTCTTCATTTTAATTATTGTATTGTTTTTAAGTGGTTTTTGCACTACAAATAAGATATGTGCAGTGTGCATAGAAATTCATTCATTTTTTTTTCAAATTATAATGCGGCCCTACAACAGTTTGAGGGACTGTGACCTGGCCCTCTGTTTAAAAAGTTTGTGGACCCCTGTCCTATAGTATCCTGCTATGTATAAACTGGTGAAGGAGCACAGCTCTCTGGCAGAAGATGTCTAAACTAAAAATCTCAGGATTCGAATAGATGGATCCATGCAGCTAAAGGAGGATGATAGCTCTATAACAGTGTTGCATTGTGGAGAATAATTACATTGTTTAGAGTTCTGTCAGAACATAGAAATTGTGAACACAAATAATATATTCTACATATAGAGAGCTGCAGAAATATTCACTTTCCTTTGAATTTCTTCTACATTTTATTGTGTTATAATCTGGAACTGAATTGTTTTCAATCAGAATTATTACCACTTGATGTACACAAAGAGGCCCAAATACTGTTAAAATACCCAGTGTTTTTTTTTTACTGTGGCACAGATGTTAAGTAAACAAAAGCAAACGGGCACATTTGCTGTGAAATAGTGATGCAAGTGAACTGGATCCACCTGCCTGCACAATCTCAGAATAGATACAGCTACTTCTTGAGGACTCTAGAAGTTTTTGAAAAGCAAGTTGAACTGAACAGTGCCATCAAGTCCAAGAAATTTGGGGAATAAATAGCTGCTGTCAGCAAATATAGAAAAACAAAGGGTTTCATTTTCATTTCACATGGTCAGGCCCTCCTTAATATGTTCAGTGGGAACTTCCTTTACTCTTCAAAACTAAAAAATTACTTTGTAGAATTTCCATAGCCTTCCTTTCTATGAATTTGAAGTCTGAAAAGGTGAGTTTTTAAGGTTTTGCTACTGCCTCACAAACCTCTGAGTCATTTAACTTAGTTGGAGGTAAACCAATCATATTGATGAAGCATTATGCTTTTGATTGGGTCTAAAGTGTGATCCCACAAAATAAAAACATACAAACTGTAGATCTTGAGTAAATCAAGAGCTGCAATGCAAGCTCAGTAACTAAAACTGATTTAGCCAGCAAAAGAAAATGTTATCTCAGTAAAGAACCTTGTAATCTCCCTTGCCTGGAAGGTTAAACCCAAAACTTTGTTTTCCTTGCTGCTTGCTTTTAAGTGGTAACTACCTCTTCTTCATTTATATTTATCACAAATCAAAATAAGAAATCATACCAACATAAATAGAAATTATATTGAATAATGTTTATTTCCAGTCTAACACATGCATCTCACAATTCATGAAATAATTGGGATAATCCACTCAGGGTAAGTTATTAAATCCATTTAAGGATTTGTGTTTATTCAGAAGTAAACGATTTGTGTTTATTCAGAAGTAAACGATACTGAGATCACTGGGATTTACATAATTTCAAGCAAAAGTCTCAGTCTTCCCAATCTATAGATATCTTTGCTTTTAAAAGTTTTATTCAGGATAAAATTAATAACACCTTTAAAATGCTATATATGTCCAATTAAAATTGTAAATACACCAATATAAGAACAAATTAATAAATAACTGACCATGGCAAAACATTTTGGTTAAGTACTAATTCAAAGACAAAGAGAAAAGAACCAGTATATTCTGTAAGCAAGGAATCAGATACAACGATTAATGGAACAATGGACTATAAAGGGAAAAGTAAACGCTTCCCCTTGACATTAAGTCTAGTTGAATCTGACTTTGGGGGGTGGTGCTCATCTCCATTCCTAAGCTGAATAGCTGCTGCTGTCCATAGACGCCTCCAAGGCCATGTGGCCATCATGACTGCATGGAGCGCCATTACCTTCCTGCCAGAGCAGTACTTATTGATCTATTCACATCTGTATGTTTTCAAACTGCTAGGTTGGCAGAGTTCACCCTGCTCCCTGGATTTGAATCGCTGACCTTTCAATCAGCAAGTTCAGCAGCTCAGCAATTTAACGGCTGCACCACCGGGGGCTCAACAATGGCGTATACCTAGTTCCAATACAATTTTAAAAGATATCTTATGCCAGTATTTTGAAATAGAGCTTTTTCTAATGGTTGATATCATGCTGGATAGTTCCAACTAGACTAGACATATTAAATCAACAGTTGAATGGTTAATCAATATATAGCATGAGCTCAGTTTTTACAGGGAATATGTTCCTGAATTTTCTGTTAAAATAGGAAACCATGGATAGAAGCAAACTCTTACTTCTGAGGGAAGTTACCATGAAGTCTTCCTGGGGACCTAGAAAATTCTTGCAGAGGGATTTGCTATGTCCTCCAAAGTGATTCTATGGTAACTTCTGGTGAAAGCAAATCATAGAATCCCCTGAAGGACCTATAACTTTCCTATACAGTTATGGGCAGCAAGTGAAACCATGGTTCTGATCCTGTGGGTATAGGTATCATACCATATAGATAAATTACATTGTTCCAATGTATCTGCTCTAATTAGGACTAACAGGATTGAGGCCCCAGTCTCTAAAATACTTTGCTATCCAAATTGCTAATCATATTTGGCAAATAAACATTTGGCAACTGCTGAAGCTTTTTAGGTTCAAAAGAAATATATAAAGTCCTTGGCAAGAAAACAGTTGCCAACAGTTGCACTAAAAATTGTTGCCAAGGAATTCTTACAAAAGACACTTCAGCCAGTAGAGCTCCAGCAATAAGGCGGAAAATAAAAATGTGTTATCAGCTCCTACATGCTGTTTCACAGCATGTTGACTGGAATGCAAGGCTTAACAGAAGAAATATTCAGATCATATTCTAAGAGGGGGAGAAAACAAAAGCTAATAAGAGTCAGCATTTTGGGGCAGCAGTTGTCCAACACATCCGAGACAGACTTGTACACTATAATACTCCCTCTTTACAAATATACATGCTTAAGATTTTTTGGCAACATAATAAACACGTAGTATAAATGATGAATTGCCATGGAATTCCTAGAGAATTAGCTTGATAGCATGTGAATACCAGAAACATCCATCATGAGTGATGTTAATGGGGTGAACAACAAAGACACATTACAATGATGAGGCACATACCAAACTCAATTTATTGGTCACTGCATGGCAGCCCAATGAATGCTCTGGCAACATAGTACACATTTGATGTTAAAGATAATAGAAGTAACAGTTTCTCAGGCATCTTTCATTAAGAAATAAAATAAATTTCATGGTAAAGCCTCTTGAGCTCAAATGGTTTGGGGGTATATAATTCAGCATTGTGTACACTGACTGGTAACTGAATCCTGACCAATTTACTTGGAGAAGCCAGATGTTGAACCTGAAACCTCTGTAA